TAAATTCACCATTTCGTTTTTAATCTAACTTTGCAAGAACTGTGGTGGAAACGCTAATGTCTAGGAAATTTATGGCTAATAGGCTTTATTCAGCATTTCTGTATGGGATTAAATCTATTCAGTCCATGTTTACCGATGTCCAAGTGACATGATTATTTGTATCTTTTGGGACTTTTCGTATTTTCCCGTTTCACTTGTACCACACGTCCACACCATGTTTACGAAGAGTGGGCCATACATATTCTCAGTATCAAAGGTGTGAGCCGCAAGTGAAATAGTTGTACAAAACAGATAGGTATACGCGGCAATAGACAAGTTTTCACGTCAATACACGTGTACCATGTTATAATGTCATTCTGACGCTGACTGTAATTAGATATCATTTTGTTTGTACCGGGTGACCCAATAAGACTGTTCCTCGGCCATATCTCGGGAACCGTGCGTCGTATGACAGGGGTAAAAAAATTATTGGGTAAATCGGTCATGAAGAATCTCTGGAATATATTTTCAAGTTCTAAAAATGACCACCAGAAGGCGTAACTGTCATCTTAAATTTTAAAATTGCATTTTCTTTAAATTTCGCATAATAAACTAAACATTCTTTTTCACATTTTTAAAGACAGCCAGTTTATCTATCATATTCACACAAAAACTCAGTTATTTCGAAAACAAAGATGTCGTGGGGCAATCAATTGTTTTTGCAATAACCTGCTTTAACTTCTTGACCGTTTGACCGATTGTAACAAATTTGGTATCGTTGAAAAATTTAGTTGAATCATTCTCCGCCAGGGGACTAGTTTTGACACTATGACCCAAAATCCTAAAAAAATCAAATGCTATGATATAACTTTTTCTTTATGAAAAAGTAGCCAAATAACATCCAAAGAGGCCAGTGAAATATTGGGAAAATGAGATTAATTAATTAATGAATAAAAATGCTTAAATTGTATCTTATTTGTCGTATTTCCGGTATTTGTCGATGGCGCGAAAGATTGTTTGGAAAAAGGCCCTACACTTTTAGGTAGGCCTTGGAAAATTAAACAAATGAAACACGATGCATTATAAAATAATAACAGTCGTAATTTGTAAATTATTCTGCTGTGTTTACATTCAGAAAGTGCAGTTTTTTGAATTTGTAATCTTTTCTAAAATGCCGATTTCTAACCAAGAAGCATAAAATTATTTTGGGATTCTCATAATTCATTCGAAATTCTAAGTCTTTTTACAAGCTATAGTTCACGTTGTGACTCGCGTTATACCTATTGATTTTTATATAATTAGGTACATGGAATTAATTCAATACTTTTAAAGTGAGTATTTATTATCGCTCGGTATGATTGTATGTTTTGCACGGGGCTAAATCTCATCCGCCACGAGACGCTATGCGGAGTGCCGATCTTTTCAAAGCGCATTTGTATGGAAATGTCGTATTAAAATCGTCGATGTTTTTTTGAAATTGACCAATATACACGTTTATAGCTCGTAATTTCGTGCATTTTTTATCATATTAAAGAAATTCAAAAAAATCTCTAGCAGTTTTTAAGATAGCGAGGTGAAGCGGCGTAGGCAAATGATAGGTACCATAAATATTTAAATACGTCATGAAAATAAATCCGTGTACTTTTTACCATTCCGAGCAAAGCTAAACAGGTCATTAAGGAACGAAGCTGTTCTCGTTTTGAGCTTAAATATTCGAATGAAGGTTACATTGAATTATATATGAATTTTTAGGACAACTGTTGTATTCTAACTATAATTCTTTGATTGTCATTTAACTACGACTGTTCCCTTCCCTTTCAAGAAACTAGAGGATCAAGAGTTAGCCACAAACCCGGTTATTTGATAATTATCTAATTAAACATTCAGATTCAACTCAAGCACGATCACACGACACTATTTCTCAATCACAACAGAACTAGAATTCTAAGCAAAATAAACCCTCGAATAAACTATAGATTCTATCACGACAAATTCACTTTACAGGTTACCTGCACGTCTGCAGCTCCTGTCATTCAGATAATCACCTGCGTAGCAGTTCGTCGATCTTAAATACCATGTGCTGGCATTTCATCCAAAACAACGGCACTTCTAAATACGCGTTAGGTACACAAAAATATATGTACATGCATAAACCCAGTAATAAATAAGTTTCGGATTGCGATATACGTAAAAGAAAGATAGGTAATGAAATTAAAACATATGTCATAACCTAAAAAGAGCCGCGGTTAACCAAATAAGGAATCCGATTATAATAATAATAATAATACTTTATTAGTGTAGTTTATCACAAGATATTTACACAAGTCAAATTACAATAATAATGGACAGTTATAAGAATTTAATTTCGAAATATTCATCAATGGAATACAGAGGATTACTTATCAGTGTTCAAGAGTAAAAATAACTATACCTCGGAAAGATCCCAACAATGCCCGACTCACATAAATACGTTTAGATATACAATCTCATCAATTTTAGCTGGATGGCTTTGGATTTTCGACTTCAGATTTCAATATTGTTCGTTGGAAAATATTTTCCAGTTCTAAAAATGACCACCAGAGGGCGTAACTGCCATCTTAAATTTTAAAATTGCATTTTCTTTAAATTCACATTCTTTTTTCACATGTTTAAAGAGAACCAGTTTTCATTTTCGTAAAAACAAAAACTCAGCTATTTCAAAAACAAAGATGGCGTGGGGCGTTCAATTGTTTTTGCAATAACCCTAAGTTCTTAACCGTTTGACCGATTGTAACAAATTTGGTATCGTTGAAAAGAGCATTCCTTGGGCAACAAGAATCAACCAAAATATAGTTAATTTAGTTGAATCCTTCTTCGCCAGAGGGCTAGTTTTGACACTATGATCCAAAATCCTAAAAACAATCAAATGGAATGATTTGACTTTTTCTTTATGAAAAAGTAGCCAAATAACACCCAAAGACGCCAGTGAAAACCGATTTTCAAAATCTCGTTCCTAACCTCAAATATTGGGAAAATGAGATTAATTAATTAATAAAAATGCTTAAATTGTATCTTATTTGACGTATTTCCCTACACTTTTAGGTAGGCCTTGGAAAATTAAACAAATAAAACACGATGAATTGTAAAATAATAACAGCCGTAATTTGTAAATTATTCTGCTGTGTTCGTGAGGGGGCCCCCCTTTTAGACAGCGAAATTTGATGGCCGTCTGGCACACCTTAAAGGTATAGGCTACCTCCTGCAAAAAATTCCAGGACTCTAGGACCATTCCCCTAGAAGTAGTTCAAGTAGTTTTTTTTTAATTCTTAAAAAATGCACTAAAAATTATTGCGGGTCTGACTATAAAACGCTAGAAAGAAACCCAATAAGCATTATATGAGTGTGAAGTGAGAGACACAACAAACTAAAAGCGCTGATGCCATGCATGCACTGACCTGAATAAATAGAGGTCAGTGCATGCATTGCGTCTTTTTTTGAGTAGGCTAGTATTCTCTAGTATCGTAAGACAGAACCATTGAATTTATAACAAATTCAATGACAGAACTTAGAACTGACGTGGAACCGTTTCCGATACGTCTTATAATTTCGTCGCTACTTTTCCGCTCTGTACGGAGCAGCCATTTTTAGTAGCGCTACATGTCAACGTGGTGATCGTGACATAAGGCCACAACCAAGGTGATTTATGACGTTATCTTGACCACAACTGTTTCTGATACTCGACGCGGTAGCGTATCGCTAACTGTTGCGTCTATGAACGCGGCCAATGTCACATATTGCTACCTGCCAATGTGAACATTGGTAAAGTTATGTCTCTCTCACACTCCTATAATTCTTGTCGGGTATCTTTCTAGCTTATTATAAGTCACACCTGCAATAATTCCATACCAGTATGTACAACTCTTCAGAAATCTATGTGAATTAGTTGCCCATATAAGCTCGTATTTGGACAAATGGACACCATGTAATATCACTACTTACCAGTGGCGGATCTAGACATATTTTTCGGGGGGGGGGGGGGGGGGGGGGGCCGGTGCTTTTGTGGATTTTCAAAATTAAAAAATAAACGCTAAGTTAATTTTTTTATTTATAGAGAGTTCATGCGCGAAAATTGTACGCCGCTTTAGGGTAAAAGGTTGTCCATGCCAAACCTCCAATCGGGGAAAATGATGTAAATTTTTTATATGGATGGGGACTGGACGGGGGGGGTCACCGGTCCCCTGTGACCCCCCCTAGATCCGCGCCTGCTACTTACTTGTTATTGTGAACACAACTTAATTCTAACAATTTCATTCTAATGGCGTAATAAATCGCATTTGGGGCCTTATTATGAGTGAGTTTGTAAAGCAATATTTAGTTTACATTCAAATGATGAATTCCATTTCCATTTGTTGTTACAGCAATTTTTTTCGATTCCAATTACCTATCTCCCTTACATTGCTATTTTCGTAATTTTGTTTCATTTTATTTTGCTTTTCATTTTTTTTGCTTAGTTGAAAGTGAAAACCGTTAAAATCCCTCGTAGGTATAGGTATAGTATCTAGAAATAAGTGGGGCACTTATAACCAATAACAAAATATGGACTTCTTTAAAAAGTAACTAACTTATATTTTCGTATTTGCTACAGAAGCTTTCGTTTAGTGTACCTACTGACTTTGCTTTTATCTCATCGCAGTTATCACTCATTCATCCAGAATGTTCGATTGTAGTGCGTAGAATGATTAACGTCGATATTGCTGCGCCCGTTTTCCCGTTACAATACGCACATAGATAGGTAATCCATAACAAAATCTGGTAAAAAAGCTTTGGCAATAGTATAAAGCTGGTCTCAAAAGCGCAAAACACTGAAAAAATCATTTGAAAATCGACATTTTATTTCCAGCGAGCATCAAGACCTTTGAAACGTAGAAAATTAATCTAGAACAGATTCGTAAACCCATATGCACTAAAAAAAATAGGCCAGGATCATCTTCAGCATCTTCAGCTCCTGTTTGGTGTACAAGTTTAGTTCACAAAAACAAAAGTTTCATAAATTGCAATTTATTGTAGAATGTTCGTCTCAAAAATCCATTCAGCAGCACTGTTAGAAAATACAATTTGGAAGCATTTAGGTAAATGAATCGTGAAATGTAAATAAAAAACTAAACATGCGTGGATTATTTGTTACAAGATGGCCAGGGTCCCGATGTCCATTACTTTCCTCCTAATCCCAACCCGCAGCAAGTCTGTCCAGATGGGCAGATTCCGGGACCGGCACCGAATACGCAAAGGTTCACACATGAATATGGTGCTTCGCAAAATTGCGCTGCAAAGTGAAATAAAATAAGATGCGACCCAAAATGTAACAAGTTAATATTTACCAGCTACTGGAGACCAGAAGACTGCAGCTAAGGCGACAATAACAAATACTACGAACTTCATTTTGATTGAGTGTAGGTTAACCTCTAAGAACAAATAGCAGCTACGCCCTTTATATTGTCCAACATATTCGGAAATTGCCTTGAAATTACCATAATATTGCTGATTATCTATAAATAATCACAGTCCTTATGATAAGAAATCATTTGTGGTTCACCAATTTTAGGCAAATTAGAATTAAACGGAAATTGGTACTTACATAATTAATTGATTTTAGAAAAAAAATCGACTGTTGTTATCGCAATTGATAAAAAATAGTTTATTAAGTTGTGCATTACTCATCCCATGCTATTGCTAATGAGAGCAAAAATGTCTTAGGGGTCTATTCTGTATAGGTATCATCGTTAACAAACGATATCGTAATGGTAACGATTTGATCTTGAATGCCAGCTTTATTCAGTATCACTGTTATATGTTGTATGTCATACGGAATAGAGAAAGTCGTTACCGAACGATAACCGCTGTGTAACGACATCGTTACGCTTTAGAGAATAGGCCCCTTAGTTGCCAGTTTATAATGTGTTAGTTACAAAGTGTTAAAAATGGATCATACAAAAGATATGTCTTTTATTACTAATTTATGTAGTGGCTCACACACAACTTACTTTGTCTTGAACTATATCTCATAATGTAAAATATTTATACTCGTGTCCGACATTTTTTAAATTGAGGAATTGATTTAAATATATCATACGTTACACTCAACACTCATGTTCTATTAGTATCTATTAATATATTAGTATAATAGAATGGAAATACATTGCGCCATCCAGATAAATTGGTAAACTAGTCCAAGCATTACAATTAAATGTCATATTTATTTTTAATGGAACAGTTAACAGACTCTATTAGTATGACGTCAGATTTGACCGGGAAATTCAAATCGCAGGACTTGACTGTTTTACTTTCGAAGATATTGACCCCTATCGCTCCATGCATTAAAGTATCACTTTTAAATAGGTCCTCTTTACGGTCTTATACCCTGGCTTATACTGACCTTATGCGAATTAAATAAGCATATCGACCCTCTTATATCGAAACACTGATTACTTAACTTTAAAACAGAGCAAAAATCGTTAGATAAAATCAATTAATTGTGTTATAATTCAAAATTAAAAATATGTCTATAAGTACCATATCGGTTGGAAGTAAGGAATGATCATAACCTATATCTTATTCCGTGTTCATTGTGTTTACATTTTCCAATGTTAACATATAATTTAAAAAACACCTAGGACTATAGAAAACTACATAAAACAAATCCAAACAATTATAAATGGTGCACAACTCTTGTGCAGATAAAGCGCATTTTTTGAAACAGAAATAGCGTTTGACTTGACATCACCAATGGATATATTTCTTGCAGACGTCTCAATCGCCCTTTGTGAGTAGCCTCTTCTGACAGTCCGTTCTTGAGGTATAAGGGAAACATACCCGACCACGATAAGAGGTCGAGGAGGAGGGCTGCGGTTGGTAGAAATTAATTCCTTTCGTTGAGACCTTTTACCTATCGGTTGTCGTATGTAAAAGTTATGCACGTTTTACTTTCAAAAACAGCATCTCAGGAAATAATTCGTGGGGGGCTCTACTTCAAAAAATTCCAGGACCATTGCTCTAGAAGTAGTTCGAAACGGCAGCAGTGGATCCGGCCGGACGGACCGACGGACGGAAAAAACCCAAACAATAGCACATTTTTTAATTCTTAAAAAATGCGCTAAAAAAGGACAGAAACTCATACCTTGCAGCTGCGTTATAACACGTTCACAATTCCGCGGCAGAAAACCAGCAAGTATATGGGAAGTTTTGCTTTGAAATAATAAATTGATATACTGAACTGTAACCCAAACCAATTCAAGAAATGCTTTTTGGAAATTGTAAAACTCCCACAATCTTAGGGTGACTTTTATTTCTTAAATAATTTGTTATTTTCATACTTAGTTTGTAGAAATATTATTATCCTCATATATTTGTCAATACTGTAACGCAATGATTAGTAATTATTTATGTTAATTTTATTAGCTTGTGTTACACCTTTTAGTTATGATTTGATTGGGAAGGGTGGTAGATCGCCTAACCTGGCGAACCCTTGTCCATTTGTAAGATTTCTTGCTTACAATAAACGTTATTATTATTATTTATTATTATTAAAGAGCCTGCATTCAGACTAGGAATTCATCAAGCACCATTTTTGAACCATAATAAAATGATCATATTGGGATCTGGGATATATAATTTTTGACCAATTTTGATGGAAACAAGAGCTTCTCCGTACTCCGTATCGTCATCCATCACCGTATGGTCATGGATGGTTATAATTTGATCCTAAGAACATATTAATATGAAAATTTTTTTACAAAAATATAGAACTGAAAAAATTAAAATTGATTCAAAAAGATTTTTAAAAAATCAAAAATTCAAAAATCTGATTTTGAGTTTTTTTTAAAAATCAATTGAACCTTTTTTTAAATTTTGTCAAGTATTTTTGTAAACTTTTTGAAATTTCTTAATCATTTTTTTAATATTATCCCTGGTTTGTTATATTTATGAAAAGATGAGAATTCAATATGCTATCTTTTTAATTTAAATGTATAGGGCGTTTTAAAAAATGAGGTTAGGTTTCATAAAAGAGCACTTTTTTGATTGAGGACTAACAATTATAGAGATACCCGATATAAGTGTCGAAAACGGGACACCCTGTATACTGCGAACTATTCCTTCGTATTTTTGTCAAAATCAGATACAGACAATTGGTATCCAAATCTTGCATTCCATACACTCTCCAGATCGAGTGGAATTGCATGGTGACTGTTATTATTGAAATTTTGATTGTGTTGAATGGGAAAAATGGTGCAGTCTTGTGTGTTGGTGTTGCATAAAATTCCGTTTCGAGAGGTAATAGTAGACACCTAAGTCTTTGACCTAAGTGGAGTTTGCTCCTTCCGCACAGAAAGAATTGCATTGCAAAGGTTTCAAATCGACGTCGGCTAATTTGAAATATCAAATATGTAGCCACGGCGGTATGGGATGAACAACTCTATAAGTGCGCCTATATATTACATATTTCCACTCCATAGCACTCAATATCTGTCAAATTACTGTTGTAGCCACTAGACACTTGACCTTTGTTTGAGAACAGCGATATTATTTCCACAAAATAAACCCCACACTATCAAAAATGTTGACAACCTTTTGTACAGATCGGGAACACCATATTCTCACAAAAATACTTTTTGGCGCATTTTCCAACGAAGTTGGGTGCTCTATTTCAGCCACTTTCTCTATCCGTCCGTCTGTCCGAGACTTATAAGGCCTTATATAGTAATAGCAAAGAGTACCCTTTGGTAATAGCATAGTATAAATACAGAGGTAATAGTTACTCCTACAGTTTTCACTACATAATATCAATTTTCTTAGTTATTGACATAAATTACGTCAAATTGCATAATTGACAATGAATTGTACCGGGTGACCCAATAAGACTGTTCCTCGGCCTCGGCCAGTTAGGGGTAAAAAAATTGTTGGGTAAATCGATTATGAAGAATCGCTGGAAAATATTTTCAAGTTCTAAAAATGACCACCAGAGGGCGTAACTGCCATCTTAAATTTTAAAATTGCAATTTCTTTCAATTTCGCATAATAAACTAAACATTTTTTTTCCATTTTTAAAGAGAACCAGTTTATCTATCTTTTTCATAAAAACAAAAACTCTCAGTTATTTCAAAAACAAAGATGGTGTGGGGCGTTCAATTGTTTTTGCAATAACCTGCTTTAACTTCTTAACCGTTTGACCGATTGTACCAAATTTGGTATCTTTGAAAAGAGCATTCCTTGGGCAATGAGAATCAACCATATAATCAACAATATAGTTAATTTAGTTGAATCCTTCTCCTCCAGGGGGCTAGTTTTGACACTATGATCGAAAATCCTAAAAAATCAAAAAAATCAAATGGAAATTATGTGACTTTTTCTTTATGAAAAAGTAGCCAAATAACATCCAAAGAGGCCAGTGAAAACCGTTTTGCAAAATCTCGTTCCTAACCTCAAATATTGGGGAAATGAGATTAATTAATAAAAATGGTTAAATTGTATCTTAAATTTACTTTTGACGTATTTCCGGTATTTGTCGATGGCGCGAAAGATTGTTTGGAAAAGCACCTTCTACGTTTAGGTAGGCCTTGGAAAATTAAATAAATGAAACACGTTGCATTATAAAATAATAACAGGCGTAATTGGTAAATTATTCTGCTGTGTTTACATTCAGAAAGTGCAGTTTTTTGAATTTGTAATCTTTTCTAAAATGCCGATTTCAAACCAAGAAGCATTTAATATGCTGGCGATATATTTTGAGTATTTTCAAAATGCGACCATCGCTGCCCGCATATTCTATTTGCGTTATCCGAATCAACCACGAACCATCGCCGCCAGCATATTAAATGCTTCTTGGTTTAAATCGGCGAAGTTTTCTGTGTAAATAAATCGGTCCGAAATTTGGCAGGTGTGTGAGGCGGCGGAGCTGACGAAACCGAGCCTATATCTCATCCAAAAACATAAGATTTCCCAATAGGAGGTGCGAATTTCGCTGGGTATTGTTATATTGACGAAAGCATGAAGAAAGGAGGTTCTTCTTTCTCACTGAAATTCGGATGACTTAGCTTTTTACGATCAAAGCGTGATTTCATGCTGACTTTGCACTTGTAACCAAATACCTGCAATTAACACAACTGAATGTGAGCTAAATTCTCGCTACCGCGTCGCTCTGTAATCCGGATTCTATAAAAAACAATACTCTCTTGAACTGAAATGCGCAGTGTGACGGCTTAAATTTTCTATTTAAATCATAAACAAAAGTTTTTTCTATGTTACATTTATAAGGGTCGAAGACCTCACTTGCATAAAATAAAATTGAACCTCTACGACACTGGGAAAAATGTTGGTATGACAATTAGATTTATTTTATCCAAAGGTAGCTCAGTAATAAAAATGCTGTTAACACCCCTCTCTTATCTCCTCTCCAAATCTGAAATTCAAAATCTAATGCTAGGGTGTGATTGAACTCATTTTCCATTTTCCTTTACACGTTCCTGCATGTAAAATATTAGTTTAATTCATAAAAAGAAATACAAAAACAAATGCGATGCCTGTCTTGTGATAACGTGGCAATATTAAATTCATCTGTACGCGCAATCAACTACTGGTACATTAAAACACCTCTGAATGCTAAACAAATCTTTAATCCAACCAAAGGAATTGTACCACTGAAATTAAACGAAAAATTCCCAATAAATGTAACAAAATAACAAAATTCCTTTGTTTGAATCGAATTCTTAACACTAAATATAAACCAAAATCGTTTCATGCAGGTAATTTAATTTGGTCGATTCTTTTAGGAATATTAAAATTACTTCTAACAAAATTTCTTGTGAAAACCGATTACTACTTTATACAAATCAAAAAATTTAAAATAACTTACAGTTATTGACGTGGGGAATATTATTCTCTTCTGGTAACTGTCTTCGTAATTAATGCAAGTGGAAGAAAGGTGCGTACTCGGGTGCGTATGAATCGTGAATCCAATCAAACCGGCTTTAATTTCGCGAAATTGATGCTCTAGTTCGTGATTATGCACAGGAATAAATAAGACAATGTGCCACTGTGTTGATATTAATTTTGCTCAATTCATTGATTAGGTGGTACTGCAGATAAAATGTGCCGATTAATTGTCTTTAAATTTCCTGCCGTATGCCGTTGTAGACAAAATTCTTATTTATCGCACAATGCGTTGTCTAATGATGTCTGTGAGGAATTTGCTTTTATCCAACCGTTACATTTGGCGATCCAATGAAAACACTTCTTTGTTTATGACGAGTTTATGTAATCCCGTTTCTATTTGAAGAGAGCTTTGGCGGGCAAGCTCTTTTTAAAGTCTAACCCCCGTCTACCGAAACACCCCCTTACAATCCGGTACCTCCCTTCGCTTATCTCGAAAATGCATACCTTTCTCTAAAATGTACGCGTTCTTATCGCTTTTTATTCCCAGACACGCGTTGGTTCATGTCCGCTATGAAGCGGTATATGTTTAAGTTTTCCTGTGCTCAATAAAAAAAAGACTTTTTTTAAATTCTAAAGCGGCAACCTGTTACACCAGCAACGACAAACTTCATTTCCAACACGGTTTGAAAAATCTTATTATGTTCCACTACACGTAAAGATCGACCCCCTAAATTTCGACAACCTGTATACGTTTTGTATGATATGCAATGCTCAAATTGCTCTACTCTACAACATTTCTAACTCCAGAACTAATTGAGAGCTACCGTTACACTGTACATGACAACGTTTGGGATGATGTGCATTATGTGTACAATTTTTTTTCTTTTTCCAGGTAAAACCAAGATAGGCCAAGAAAGAAATTCTCTTGGTGGAGGAACGTAGGCAAGTGAATCAAATGATTGTCTAAAAACGAGATCCCTTTCGGTAAACGCCGCAGAATCACTACTGACGTGTCGTGATTTAGTTTTAAATCACGCCACATTCTGTGAATAGGTTTACCGATCGTGATCCCGTTACTGGCAAAGATTGTCGGTTGACGATCAGTCTTTAGCTACCTTCACACCGTTTGATTAAGCGCAGTATATATATTGCAATTACTCTCAGAGTACCCATTTTAATTGCTGTGGTATGACTGTGCCTAGGTCATAGCGGTGTGAACCAGCTAGGGGGTGTTTTTGTCGGCGGACGTCCATTGCCAGATTCCACTCGGCAGAAGATTGTGGAGTTAGCACATTCCGGAGCTCGACCTTGTGACATCTCAAGAATTCTGCAGGTCTCCAACGGTTGCGTCTCCAAAATTCTTGGAAGGTTAGTGAGTCTCCACTAAATCTCGATGTACGAACGATGCGTTATTATAGGTATTATGAAACCGGGTCTATTCGACCACGAGCAATCGGAGGCTCGAAACCACGAGTTGCCACCGCAGAAGTGGTGGCGAAAATATCCGCTTTCAAGCGGGAATGTCCTTCCATATTTGCCTGGGAAATTAGAGATAGACTTCTTCAAGATGGTGTCTGCACAAACGACAACATTCCTAGTGTAAGTAAACAACTTTGTTGACATTATAGAAGGTGACATTCCCGCATTAATTTTAATCCGTAAACGATACTAACTCCACAAACAACGTATCCTTTCGCATAAAAATCTAAAAAGAAGTATACGACAACAGTTGTAAAGAAACTTCTTGCGCATTTTAAGGAAAAATCCATATCGTTTTTGTTTTCTAAAATAGAGACATGGCGAGGGGACGTTGCCATGGAAATTTACATGCATCCAATAAACGGTTCTGCGAAGATTCCTCTTCCCTCTAAACGGTACTCAGAGTCGGACTATGCAAATTTATTGACACATTATAATATAAGGCTGGAAACAGCACAAATCAATGAGATTCCTTTGCCGTAGACAATCGCGGAAATATTAATTGGACAAAATTCGTGCAGACTTGAAAACGACGGCGTTGGTTACAAAATCTTTCGTCTTTCCCATTATCTCATAAAGTAATTACGAGCGGAATTAGAAAAATATTTAAATTCGTCCCTGTTGAGTCCTTTCAGTTTCCATTTAAAGAGCAGCTCCTTTATTACGAAGTAGATGGGGGTCGACTAATATGCGGATGGCTGCAGGGTGGAAGTTCTATAAGAGGCTCGTCACGCAGGTTAAACTGATGATTACAAACTGATTAAAAGGGAGCTGAACTGATGTTATCGCAAGCTTATACTCACGTTAAATACTCCTCTAATGGATGATTGATAGCAAATTGCTTTAACTAAAATTGTCGGGACTTGAAAATCATTATTAGAATTTTTTAATCGTCTTTACGTTGATTCGTCCCTCTTCTCGTCCTATTGATTGATTGCGCGTTACCGATTTTTCATACCGTAAAACAGATTAAAAGATGCCAGCTACGGTAATCTAATTCCCACCCTTCTTTACTATTTACAGGATTTGACTTCTAATCTCTAATTTCTATTACAATACGCATTTTAAACACGGTCCACAAATGAGATGAGCCCAAAAGCACCGAAAAGTTTCCCACGAAGTCCACTAATGGTATATGCAACGTAGTGACCTTCCAAAAGGAAGGTAAAGTATGAAATGGAAACTAATGAAAAAGCGCGCCAAGTTTTCCTTGGAGATCACTTAGATTAAATCACAAAATCACACGCCCAAGTGCCCTAATTTGTTAAAATGGTGTTAAAGCCCTTTGGCAAACTAAAAATGTGCCTAGAGACCAATAACGGTTTGAATGTGTAAGAGCTTAGTTACATTTTATAAGGGTTGAAGACCCTATTTGCATAAAATAAAATTGAACCTCTACGACACTGGCCAAAAATCCGAATATGACAATTAATTTGAATTTGCCACGGCTAGCTCAGTAATAAGAATGTTTTTATACCCTCAACTTGCGGAAGTCTGGCCTCTTATCTCCTCTCAAAATCTGAAATTCAAAATCTACCTAATGCTCTGGTTTTATTAAATCGTTTTTCTCCACACTGTACGGTTGTAAAATATTAGTTAGGTTCATAAAAAAATTCAAAAGATGATCACGAGTTGATGCTAAACTTGATCCTTATCTAAGCAGTTAGGTATATTTATCACATAATAAATTACTGGAACATTGTTCTGCCAAAAATATGCACACACCTCTGTATCCTAAAGAAAGCTTTAATCCAAGCAAAGGAATGGTTTCGCTGAAATTAATGCAAATTTTCCAATTATCAATGAAACCAAATAACCAAAATCCTTTGTTTGGATCCGATTATTATCCACCAATACAATATCTGTTTTATGAAAAGTAATTCTCGCGGGTCGATTCCTTTAGGAATATCAAAATTAATTCATATTAAATGACATGTAAGTTCCTAAAAATAATCGACCGCTACTCTATGCAAATCAAAAAATTTACTTACAGTGATATTCTCTTCTGGTAACAATTGATCTTATCTTGGAAAATGCCCTTTTTAGAAATATGGAAATGAAAAACAAAACAAGTATAAATTGTGCACAACTCTTGTACAAATAAAGCGCATTTTTTAAACCGAAATAACGCGATGTTTGGGTTATAAGGTGCTATATTTGTCGATGTTCACTTTCTTGCTAGATGATTAACGGGGAGGAGGCTCTTTACACATAACCATTTAAAGGTCGCCTGGCATACATTCAAAATCTAGGCTATATAACGCAACCAGAATGAAAACAGAGAAATTCTCCAAAATATTACATTTTCCCTTTGTAAGTACCTTCCTCCAACATCTTCGAGATAATCTCAATTAAGCTTTTGCATCGCCAGTAGATCTGTCTCGTCTAGTCGATACTATCTTCAGACACTTCATTTTCAAGATATTTCTAGAGATATTCGCTTTGACTTCACCGATAGATATGTCTTATGCCTTTGTGAGTACTTTTCTTCGAAAAACCGTTATCGAGATATTTAATCTTAAAGGGGCGAGGAGGAGCAGGAGGGGTATGGTTGTGAAATTAATTCCTTTTGTTGAGACCTTTCATTAGAGCACCATGATAGGATAAAACCAGTTCCACCCCCAAATCCACTCTTTTGCTAAGGGGTCAGTAAGATGGGCGGTAGTTTGTAAAAAAAACAGTTCACTTTGTTGGAACTTTTAATTAGAATACCATGAAAACCAAAATTAATTCTTCCCCTACCTGAGTTACCCACAGATCTCGAAAAGGAATCGTGCAGAAAAGTTATAATTTGTAGAAACCAGTTCATTTCGATGAGACCTTTCTTTAGAATACTATGAACGCTAGAACATGTGTTCACCCTCCCCCTCCCCCTCACTTGGGACCACTGAAGGCATACGTATGCTAAATCTAAGACCAATTGGTTGTCGTATGTAAAAGTTATACACGTTTCACTTTCAAAAACAGCATCTCAGGCACACCTTCAAGGTATAGACTACTTTCAAAACATTCAAGGACTCTAGGACAATTAGAAAGGTAGATCAAAACCGCAGAAGTGGGTCTGGACAGGCGAGCGGACGAACACACCAAACGCAAATAGCACATTTTTTTACTTATTAAATTGCGTTAAAAATGTCTATCCGTATTGCGAATCTAAGCAAACCGGCTTGAATTTCGCGAAATTCATACTCAAGATCGTGATTATGCACAGAAATAATAGGCCAAAGACCACTGTGATGAATTTAATTTTTCCCAATTTATTAAATAGATTTTGTTACGAGTAAAGGCACCGATTAATTGTCTTTAAACTCCGTTGTATACAAAATTTTATTTATCGCACAAGGCGCTGTCCATTCAATGACGTCACTCAACTTTGAAGCACTGGTTTTTAACTAGCCGTTACTATTAGCAATCCGAAAAAAGGAAATTTTTTGTTTATTATTTAATCCGGTTTTTTAATAGAAAAGCGGTTCTCTGACTGGAAAATGTTCGTCCCTCAATCGGCTACAGTTCGTCTATTCGCACGTTATAAAATTGCAGATACCCCACAATTTTTCACAAATCCGAATTTGCTTAAACGTTTCTCCACGACGTACTCGATATTTAGGGACTCTCGCCACTTAATATGTTTGAAATTTTGTTGTCCATCCTGGCTCGAAATGGAGTTCCAATGATTAAATAAACGGATTATTCCTTCCCCATGAAATTTAAATAATCTTATAAAAACACGAGTAGTTTCTACGTTTCCGTTATCTTCAGGTAAAAAATAAAAGAGTCGGTTGTAATTTACAATAGATGGTAAAAAATGTCGGTAATAGAGTAATTTAAAGTTGGAAATACTTGTTGTATCCATAGAAAATAAACAGAGGTAGTAATGTCGGGACGGAGTTCTATGTTTTTAACATCGTAATTGAGACCCAATTAAGGGCAGGTTAGTTGGAACCGCACGATTAATGTAGGAACATTACTGCACACGAGGGTCCCATGGGGGGTTGTTAT